AAGTAAACCTGCACAATGGGAGGGGATAGCAGTCTTCCCCTCTCACCTGGCACAGGAGATCCAGCACAACGCTGTGCTGGAACTCCTGTATTGGAGGTGACAGGGTCAATAAAGAGAACCTGTCACCTCCAATTGCTATTACACAGGGGCTTGTTAGCTCTGTGTGATAGCAATAAAGTTAAGTGGAAGGAAAAATAGATAAAAAAATTATTGAAGAAATAAACATTTAAAAAAAGAAATACTTTTTAATCGCCTTTTTATTTTTTTTATTTAATTAAGAAATAAGAAACAAATTATTAAAAAATAAGAAAATTATAAAAAATAAACAATAAGATAAATAAAAATTTTAAAAAGTAAAAAAAAATATTAAAAAAAAATAAAAAAATAAAGAAACAAAAAATAAAATAAAACTAACCCTGCCATCTGGTTGCCATTCTCCATTGATGGGGGGGGTTGGTTTAGCGGGGAGGGGGGTGCATTGCGCAACCTGGCCTTGGAGCAGCAGGGAGAGTAAATCCGGCCCTGGGCGTTCATAACGCGGTTATATCCACAGTGCAACGACCAAAAAGATTGTGCTTTCTAATCTCTACGCAGGTAATATCAGGAGTCTGCTGTTGTTGTTCTAGGAAGGGTATTTCAGCTTCAAAAAGCAAGTAAAACAGTGGTTCTCAAGCTGTGGGTCGCTGTGTGATTTCTGCTGTGCTAGGTGAGAGTCCTCCTCAGCCCTCTCCTAGCACAACAGTGTCGGTTCTCCCGCCATGCCGCCAGATGTCGCTGCAGCAGCCGCGTCATCCCTAAATTTTACAGTTGGGGGTCACCACAACTTGGCAAATGTTACCAAGGGGTCCCGGCCCTAGAGAGGTTGAGAACCACTGGGCTATAGGCTATATCACTTAATCCTGAAATCACAAATCTTCTTTACTGTGCAAAAAATTTAAATAATCCACTTGCAAACAAAATCCTTGCACAGAAAGCATGGCAGAAGGGATGACTCGTAACCAGAAACCACCACAGAACCACTAGTGGGGTGTCATGCTGGAGTGAAGCGAGGGGTTTAGTGTGTGCAACGCACCCCAGCATTGGAGTGAAAGCCCCTCTCATCCGATCTCCCACTTCCTCAAACTCCACAGTCACCTCGTCAGCTTCTTTACTTGTTTTCAGTGCATTTTTAACACACATTTGCACACACATTTTTTTGAGCATTTTTTGGGGCATACATGTTTTTGTTTAGGCCAACTGAAAGCGGAGAAAGAGATGGTTGTTACGCATGAAAATGCATGAAAAATGTGTGTTACGCACATCTTTCGTGTGTTTACCACACTAAGCCACGCACACTAAAGTCTATGTGGCCAAAAATGCACTTTCCTGCCCTATTGATGCACCTCTACTTCTTTGGCATGAAAAATGACAACACATTGCTCAGATATGAACAGTCTCCATAAAATAAAATAAATATTGTTTCAAATGTTGTCGTCCATCTGGAAACATGCTTCAAATCCCTCAGGTGTGAATAGGAGCTGACAGTGAAAACAAGCTTCTAAACGCAAAACGCATTGGTTTGTTTTTATAGAGAGCTTAGAAGATTATTTCAATTCTGCAAATGAATGATGTTTTGTATATTCATAAAAAGTTCTGGTAGTGTGTCAGAAAGCCAGAATCCACATTACGTCCCTCGTTTATGGTGTTGAAATGTAAAATAATTTTCATCTCAAATGTTTTCCTTTCATGAGAGTTTTTAAAATTCCCTTTCAGTACTTTAATATTGAGGTTTTGGATGGAGTGATCTTTCTTGGAGAAGTGATGTCCTACTGGGGTGCAATATTCGTTTTCTTTGTGGTTCTTGATTTGAGCTCCTGTGTAGGTTCGTCCTGAGATGCAGCTTAAGGCCAGTCTCCCCAATGTGACATCCTTTGTCACATGCTGAACACTGTATCATGTACACCATGTTAGCAGATGTGCATGAGTGTGATCCCTAATGGTGTGCGTTTTGTTATTGTGACTCGCTGTATTCTTGTCACATATATGTTGGCAAAGTTTGCAGCGGGGTTTATTGCAATGCACTGTGTCATTCTGTGTAAATTCCTGTTCTGGGGTCAGTTTACTGCATACCAATCTTCTTCTCAGGTTCAGTAGTTGCTTGAAAGCCAGTATTGGGGGCTGAATGAATATGTCTTTATGGGGTCTTCTGAGAGTGCTGGCTGTAGGTTTTTGATGCTTTTGCCTATTACTTCTAGAGTAGCGTTGTAGGTAACTATAAGAGGGGTCCTGGTTGTCTTTTTCTTTGTACTTTCTCGTGGTGTTCCTAGGGCAGATTGCATTTTTTTAGATATAGTCTTTTCCCTGCAGCCCTTTCGCCGAAATGCATCAGCCAGTGTGCTTAGGTGTTTGTCTCTGTCCTCAAGTGTCAGAGCAAATGTGGGGGTATCGGATTGCTTGGCTGTAGATGACACCCTGTTTAGTGTGATTTAGATGGAAGCTGGAATTATGGAGGTAGCTGTACCTGTCTGTGGGTTTTCTGCACACAGAAGAATGGAGTGAGCCATTGCTGACTGTTATGGCACAATCCAGAAATTCATTTTGAGTTTTATTGATGGGTTGAATGAATTGAACGATTCATGGAAGTTTAAAAGGCTTTCTTCTACTTCTGTCCATATTATGAAAATATCAATATAACGATAATATTTGAATGGTTTGTGAGGGTGAGTGGCTAGGAATCTGTGTTCTAGGTCAGCCATGAAGACATTGGCATATTGTGGTGACATTTTTGTGCCCATAGCTGTCCTGGTCATTTGTAAATACATGCTGTTCTTGAAATTTAAGTAGTTGTATGTAAGTATGAATTCAATGAGTTTGGCAATGGTTTCACTATCATAATTTTGTGCAACATTATGGGAGGAGAGGAATTTGGTGCAGGAATTTGGTGCAGGAATTTGGTGCATAGTAATAGCCCCCATCCTTATGGGGGCTATTACTATATAAAGACTCCACATCCATGGTAATCAGTATCATATTAGCAGGTAGGTTAGTGATTTGGCTCAGTTTATTCCGAAAATCTGCGGTGCCCTGTATACATTTATCAGTGTTGATAACCAGGGCTTTAGAATGTTTTCAATTAAGCCAAATATTTGTTCTGTAATTATTGCCATACCTTTTAATCCTGGGTTTCCTGGCTTGTGGATTTTGGGCAGCATGTAGAAGGTCCCGATGTGAGGATTGGAAGGTAACAGATTAAGTAATCTAGAACATTTCTATGCACCTTGGCTCCATCTACGCTGGACGAACACATAATAAATTGGCCTCTTAATCTTCATCCTAACCCTTTTTCATAAATTGAAATGTACAGAACCTTGTTATTCAGGATGACATATTACAACACATCACTAATATGCATGGTAGCCTACTGGAAGCCATACTGTGAAATTTACTACACCTTTGGAACATAGCTAAAAGGGCACTTCCTGTGGAGAGAGGATACCTTTTTAATTTTCACACAATGAAAAACTCTGAAAACAAATATGCTAACAATATGTTAGGAACCATGCTAAGTCCAAGAAAATATTATGTTTATTTTGTATATTTATCGTTAATGGCTTATAATCATAAATGAAAATTAAAAAATTAGAGAAACTGTTGTAAGAGCCCTTTTAATTCAGGTTTTTAATTGAAGCAGTGTATCATGAATGCAATGTCTTGCTTTTAAAATATAGATTGCATTTCCAGTGTTATTCTAAGGGAACACAGAAAAGATCTTGAATTTGTTAGTAGTATTGGTTGGCCAGGTTGAATAGATGCAAGTCTTAGCTTTTTTACTTAAAAAATTGAATCATTTCTGCACTTCAGTAGTTACTCGGCTGATCCTGTTTTATTCCAATAGTAGTACTGTTAAGGAAATTTACAGTCAGAGGCCACAAGGCACAATAACTAGCTTCATATTGGATCAGTATTATCACAGTGTTCAGAGTTCAGTGATAAAATGTTACTTATAGCCCACTTCGTTGGTGCATTATCAATGTTTAGATTACATCTATGGACTGTATATATATAAGTTTATATTTACCAATTGCTGGCAGCAGATATTGAGGGCTTGAGGCTATTGTCAATTACTTCGCTGAGTCATTTACTGATATGCTCTGAATAGTCTGTGTAATTTCATCTTCTGCTGGTCAAGGCTTTTTAGAGTTCACAGAGTAGAATGGTGGTGGTTGGGGTTTACATACCCTTTGTTAGCTAATGCAAAGCAACATTAAGCAAGTGCAAAGGCATAACTGTATTTGCTTTATTGGAAAGGCCAGTACTCTCTAAAAACAAAGCATCAAGGAGGTTGCCTGTTTTAAATGGTCATTTGTAAAATAAAGATATACTGTACAAGTAATGAAAACTATATGTGACACACTGGATCATAGAATTGTAAACACTCAAATAGCAGAAAATACATTGTTCAATAACTCCTAACATTTCTTTGAAACACAGAAGATGAAGTTCTGGTGTGTTTTTAACCACTTGCCGTCCGCCCGTTGTAAAAAAACGCACTGCTGCATTGGCGGGTTGCCGTCTCCAGACGGCAATTTTTTTCTGCTCGCGCGCGCCCCCTAGCGGGCACGCACGGGCAGAAAAGACCGACCAATGCAAACACCCGTTACCGGGTGTTTCACATATAGACGATCGGCGGCTCCATAGCCCGCCGATCGTCTATATGTGCTCATTTTTCCACAAAGTACCGCAGCGCTGAATACTGAAAAATGGCCTGGATGGGAAGGGGGTTTAACACCGCGGATGTCAACTGGTTAAACATGATTGATCACATTTGATTACATTTTTTATGCATATTGTTCCAGCATGTTAATATTGCTTATTACTACTTTTAGATTTTAACAGGATTTCTCAAAATGAAAAGGCCACCATTTACTAGGAATAGTATTTAAATGCAAACCTTAAATATGCAATTAAGCCTGTGTGTATATAGTTATCATTTCAAATTATTTTTCTTTATCTACCATTAGCTGAAACCACTACAGAACAACCACAGAGACAGTGACAGCGAAAGTCCAAACAGAGACTCAAAACCTTCGCAAAGAGGCACTTCACATGAGCGACTAAGTGATGTAAGTATCACATGCATACAATTAAGATTAAAAAAAATGGAAAATATTCAATAAATTACATTAGATCATTTTAATTGTTGTAAAGGAAAGTTTCCCTAAATGAACTGTGCTTCTGCTATAATTACTTTACTGTTCATTTTGCTGTTTGTGTATTTTGCACAACTGCATTTCTTGTATATATAAAAAAAGAAATGGGTGTTTTATAGGCAGCAATTAAAATTGTCTCCCTTACTAGAGACAACATAGTGTTACAGAGTCACTATATCACCTTGAGAAAGGGAACCTGTAAGACCCAGAAATGTGAGCTATTATGACTACTGTGACACTGTTTTCTTTAAAAAACAAGTGAAACCTGCTTTCACACTTTTGTCCTTGCTACATTAGAGTTCACCATAGTCTTTATTGCTAATGTTTACTTGGTGTTTTTTTTTATATCTGGTATCATTGTAGTCACTGGTGTATTATGTGGGTTCACACCTCTTGGCTGCACCATCCTTATTGTCTCTACATTCTCTCCTTATTCCCCTTTTTTGTATGTTATCTGTTGACTGCCCTTTTGCTCGCTTTCCATCTCCTATTGAAGGCCCCAAGATCTCCAAACCCTTTGATAGCCTTTTTATTTGTTGTGGGATGGGGTGTGGTGGGAGTGGGGAGGGGTGGTTTGCTTATTTCTTTGTATGTTTAATAGTTCACCCACTCTCTTATTTCACACCTTCTTTAATTGTTTACAGTGGCATATTTAGCCCTATTTTTCCCACCTACTTTGTCATGGCTACTGCTCTTATCCCGCTCCCACCCTCTCTTGCTATCTAGTCTCTCCTGGTCCCCTCTTTCCTCCCTGGGTTCTTCCCCTTACCCTTCCTTTTTACCACCTTCTTCCTAACTTCCCTCTCCCCCTTTTTGGGGTTTTTGGACCCTGTGATCTGATGCTTCTTAGCCTTGCTTGTTATGGTTTAGTTTGTATGTCTTGATTTTCTGTACGCTATAGTGCAATTTGCAATTTGGGATTTCTGCCCAGATAGTCCCATGCATTCCCGCATATGGTGGTGGTTTTCTGGGATAAACCATATTTCATGGTTGGTGCAACAATGAACGACTTACCGGATTTTTGTATGTCTCTGTTTCTCCTGTTTGCACATAGCTCTTGTTTCTTGGGGCTTTTGTCGATGTCCTTCCCTGCTTCTTTCTTCTTTCTTGCTTTGGTTTCTACTCTTTTCTTAGCTTATCTTGTTTCTATGCTTGTTTCTTGGCATCGTGATCACTTTCTCATAGTTCCTGATGTCTCTTAAATGGTTGTCTTTAAATGTTCAGGGTCTCAATGTACCCCTAAAAAAAGGGTGAAGGTTTTTAAGTACCTCCGTAGACTCTGTGTTGATATAGTATACTTGCAGGAGACCCATTTTTCCTCCCCTTCATCTCCCAAGTAGTTTGATTCCAATTATCCACTGGTTTACCTAGTTAATGCTCCAACTAAACATAGAAGGGTTTTTGTAGCATTTTACAAGTGTCCCATTTGTTTGCAATAAACAAATTGCATACCCTGAAGGTAGATATGTGCAGCTTCAGAGCTCTTTCCTTGATACCAATATTACTATCCTCATCTATTACGCCCCTAACACGAATCCTGGCCCCTTCCTCTCTCATATTTGTACCGTGCTGTCTCACTATGGGTTGGGAAACCTTCTGCTTTGTGAAGACTCCAATCTGACTTTTAATGATAAATTGGATAGGCAGCATCCATCCTCATCTCCTGCCTCGGCAGATGCTAGAACCTACTGTTCTGCTTTATCATCATTTGATTTTTTTTTTTAGGTCTGGCGGAAATTTCACCCCCTTACAAAAAGATTTCTCATTGTATTCTCATCCCCAAAACTCACACTCAGGTATTGATCATGCCTTTCTCCAGAGGAAGCATATATCACTTGTGCTCTCTGCCTTTGTCATATTATGATCCTCTCCTGGTTGTTTGTCGTCCTACCCTGCAATCTCCTTCTTCTCCATCTTGGCCGATAAATTATTCCTTTCTTAGCTTGGACCAAGTGGTCACTACTCTTTCCTCTCTATCTGAGGAATCTTTTTAATTAAATGTGGGCTAGGTGGGCTCCACTGTTACTCTGTTGGAGGCTTATACAGGGACACATTATTCAGCTTGCATCCAGATGCAAGAAAGACCTTTTTATGCTCTATCCCACAGTCCGTAACAGACGTTCTCTGGATTAGGTGCACACTGCACTTAACCTCCCTGTCGGTATGATTATGCCAGGAATTTTGTACCAAAAGCGGTACATTGTAGGTTAACCTTTGCCTGACAGAGCAGGCAGAATGTCATATATGCTGGTCTCAACAAATGTTTTATGCTAAAGCTAACAAACCGGATACTGTTTTGGCTGACCGATTACAAACCAATGCTTCTAGACACCCTCCGATATCTCTTAGGATGCGACACAATGTGCTCACTAGTAATTCCTTAATAATTCTGGAAGAGTTCCGTCACCACCTCTCCGCTCTTTACTCTTCCCATGTCCCTTCTTCTAATTCGGCTATCAACAATTTCCTTCAATGATTATCCCTCCCTGATCTATCGGATGCTCAAAAGGACTTCATGGATGCTGATATTACTGAACTCGAGGTTATGCATGCAATCAAAGGCATGAATGCCAAAAAGCACCCAGGCCCAGATGGATTCTTGGCTCTTTTTTACAAAAAGTGTCTAATGTTGTGACTCCCCACCTCCCTCGACTCTTCAACTTGGTCAAGCACCATGGCTTTTCCTCCTCCATGCTGTCTGCAAATGTGGTTATGCTCCCCAAACCAGATAAGGATCATTGTGATTGGTCGAACTACCGACCTATCTCCTTGCTCAATGTGGATATTAAATTGCTTACTAAACTTCTGTCTGCTAGACTGAATACATTTTTGTATACCTCCTTACCCAGAAACCATTGTGAAGTGTTGCTTAACAAACCAGTTGTCTCTTTGTTGCCTAAAGAGCGGAAGCTTGTCCAACAAATCTTTATGGCAACCAAATTAACAATAGCTGAAGCTTGGAAATAGCCTACTTTGAGCTACCTTGCTGTTAAGAATAGATTGACAGATATCATGATCAACGAGAGATTGATTGTGATCTTGTTGGATACCCACTCCAAATTTTTGGCAACCGTGGATCTTCTATTCACATCCTCCAAATTTTGATGTATCATAACTATCTCTTTAGTCAATTTTGATTGCTTTCCCCTGGGATGCCTCTTTCCTCTTCTTTCTTCTCTCTCCTCCTTACTTTCTTTTTCTCTCTTCTTCCTCTTAAACCACCTTTTTGTTCCACCTTGTTTTGTTCTTTTTAAAGCACCTTGTTTTGTTCTTTCTCTTAAACCACCTTATTTGTGACCTTTGTATTCATATCAAACTTGAAATGCTATTTTGCATCATTTGTAAGGCACCTGTGATGTTCCTCTAAGGCTGTTTTTTTGAACAGCTTTATTCTAGTCCATGATGTTTACTCTAATGTATGTTTGTGCACTGATTTTGAGATTTGTTATGTTCCTATGCTACTTTAATAAAAAAACTTTTGTAACAGGAAAAAAAAACAAATGAAACCAATATCACAGGGGTGTTGGTGACTTGTCTTTCTATCTGAATCTTACACAGCACCACCTGATGTGGTTATTATGAGCACTCACTTGCCACACTTGCTGGTCACTGCAACGAATGCAGCTGAAACATCGACTACATCATGTTCCAGAATCTACACTCCTGTAAATAGCAGGGCTCTTGCCCCATTGTTTACATTTGTGGGGTATTTTTATTAAAGTACTTCATCACAGTGTGTTTGTTTATTTGCATTATCATTTTTGTGGGGAACAAGTAATAAATTGGGTGCTCGTCAAACCCAAAGATTTAATCATGAGAGTGAAGGTGGAGAAAAGTGTTTTCCATTGAGCTACTATAAGGATCTTGGCTAATGTCATGCTGGAATGGAATCACACCTCTCATGAAGGAAATATAGCAACTTCCATTGTTGACTGTCTCCTAAAAATGCTTGTTGCCTGGCTATTAAGCTGTCCCTATGGCTTCTGTACTCAGAGTAATTATCCTGCAATTAGAAACATGAAAGAAAAGATATACTTCTTTATCTTAATACTAGTTTAATGTCAGTGACTCAAAATATTGAAGCCTAGAGGGTCAACATGATAGCCATGCAGCTAGCATTCTAAAGATGCCCACACACCTTACGATAATCGTACGATAATCGCGGGAAATCACGCAATCACACGATTATCGTAAGGTGTGTGGGAGCCGTGCAACCTCTGCTACTGTAAGGTTGCACGACTTTTACCTTAGGAACATGTTCGAAAACCAGCCGAACATCGTACGATGTTCGGCTGGTTTGTGGCAGGTTCACAAGATAAAAGCCGCACGGGCCGGTGTGCGCAGCAATGCGGTCATCGGAAGCCCGCCCCTCAGAGGGGCGGTCTTGCGATCATCGCAAGTACCATCTGCCTGTCCAAGATAGGCAGATCGTACGTTTTTTTAAATTACCTTCAACCATCGCAAGACAAAAGTCTTGTGATGATTGTAAGGTGTGTGCCCAGCCTTAGATGGAGAGGTCAGTATTGGCCTCTTCCATGTTTCTCTCATCCTAGAAAGTCTTGCAAAAAGGTACTGGACTAATCAATGACAAATACAACTGGCTGATTTAGATGGGTCAAAACAGAACATTAGGGACTGCAATGGATGCCCTCAATGTAACTGATAAAGGAAAGAAAAATTGTTGAAGCACTCATGTAAGGGTCCGTAGCAAGCTGGAACATTAGCTGTGGCAAATCAGTAGAGAAACACTGTTCTTTTGAGTCTTTTAAACTCCTGAAAAAAATCAATTTGTCACTTTGTATAGCATAATTTTGCAGCAGGAGTTTAGTTTTCAGTTTACTCAGTTTACAATTTGCAACTTTGTTATCAGTAGTCATCTGCTTGTGCAGCCTTGAAGAAGAAGGAGCCTATTC